TTTACACCGACCATCACCATCGCCTTTCCTACAATTACCACTCAAAAGCAAATAGGGGAAACTACCAAAGGAAACTATTCCCCTGGAATCAATTTTTTCAACTACATATATTCAGAACCCATCCCTGATCCTATAAAGAGAGAGGGCTCACTGTGAAATAAAGAGAGGAGAAAGAAGGAACATCAGAGTACAGGGCAGCCTTTGGCTATGACACCCTTTGCCGTAGGGCAAACGGCGAAATCACAATGCTCCCCATCAGTACCCCACCAATTGAAGCTGTTATTCTCCATGCTTAATGAGAAGTAGAGCAAAACCCCCATAAACGCCACCCCGGCATCCAATCCAGCCGATAACACATAGTTATACCTTTGCCACCAGCTTTTCCGATACCTGAAAACGAAGAAATTGAATACGGTCCCAACTGCCACCCAAGCATTGTAGTTTAAGGCAGTTGCAGCTGGCATATAAGCAGTAGCTCCAAGAAGAACAGGAAGATTTATTAGAGGTATCCATGTTTGGCTAGGGAAAGCTTTGTGAAGGAGCCAAACAAGAACTGGACCGAGAGCACCACCGAGAAAGAACCAGTTTAGTGCTGGGTAAGCTCCCAAGGGACCGAAGATTCGCTTTGGACCAACTAGTCCCCAAATTACAGAGGCATCAAAGAATACACGGTCACCAGGGCAGGTCCATGGGCTTCCTTTAGGGAGAGCTGCCTTGTTGCATATGTTCTCAATTGAGTCTAGCAGCCACCATGCCACTCCAAGGTTGATTGTGCCCGCGATCACAGTGCCAATGAACTATCAGGTCACCATGAGAAAATGAGTCAGATGATCTCTCTCTCTCTCTCTCTCTCTCTCTCTGTATGTAGATGCAAGGGTAAGTATATCGTAATCCTCAAGGTTATTCACAGTTAATCAGTGGTCTGACCAACATCAAATTCAGGTCATGTTCATGTGGATCCCACTCTCCATAACCACTCAACCCATTGATAGGATGGTGATGACCCGCACAACCACATATCCCATATGGCCCTGAGGATTGCACATACTTCGATCCCCAGATACAAAATGCAAACTGCCTCGGCAGTAGCAATGGAAGTGCCTTATTCTTGTACCTGGAAACAATTCACTTCTTACAATAGCAAACTCAATGCACTTATCAGGGAAAGCCCACCATCATGCCCTGATCTGGCCACAGGGATAAAAGACAAAAAATCTTTTATCACAACAAAAAATGAGCATATTGTTCTTGTTCATTGTGATGATTGATGTGCGAATTTTCACAATTGCCAGTAAAGGAAACTAAAGAGAAGACTTCGATTTGGCCATGTGGTAAAATCTAAAAGAGTGAAAGAAGAAAAAAAATGTTTTGTACTTAGTACGAACAAGAAACAGTTGCTAAAGCGAGTTCATTACTGATAGAAAAACTAGTGACAAAGAGGGATACCTGAACCAAGAACATGGATCGAGGAGGGATTTTCATGTAGTGGCCGAGCTTGAAGTCAGCAAGGAAGGAGACAGCCTGGCTCATGCTCATGTATCCATACACTTTGAAGCACACATTGGCAATGGGCTTTCCTGGTAGGATATAACCCATTATGTACTCTGTTATTATGTTCAATCCTGGTGTCTGCAAAATAAATTTCAAAGAGAAAGGGAAAAATAAAAAATTTCAGATAAACCAGATAAACAGTAATGATATGCTCATACGAAGACAACTAAAGGAAAAAAATTGGTAATAATACATGAATTTAGAAGCAAAATAGAGTTAGAAAAAGGATTATTGACCTGGTTGGTAGTGGCTGTTATGATGCTAATGGGTAGTGTGAACAGGAAGGCGAGGGCACAGGCCAAGAAAATTCCCCACCATGGAAGCTGAACTTCATGCTTAAGTACGATGCAAAGGAACAGAGAAATCGCGACGGTGGCAGCCATGAGTGCATAGAACCACCACTGGGGGATATCAGCATAATTTTTCATCAATCTCGTATGCATATCAGGCTTGCTCCTGATGGATGCCCGGCTACGCTGCCATATCTCCCTGGAACCACCATCCACCCCAATTTCAAGCTCATGTGCCTAAAAATCCCACTGAATCTCTCTCTCTCTCTCTCTCTAATATACAAACAGAGCTTATATGTGATTTACCACACTCTATATCTATCCTCGGATGCTAAATTTGAAAGAGGACATGCTTTTTGACGATAAATAAAATTGCTTGTGAAATACAATACAGTTAGTGGTATTCTTCCTCTTTTGGCATGGACATTTGGCATGAAAACTTTCCCATGCAAAATCATCATATATATGCAAATGTGTTCCACAAATTTTCAGTGTAGCCTCCTATCCGAACGCTCACATGGCCCCCCAAGCTCAATATCTACCACTAGAGCCTTCTCTCTCATCCCATTACGCCAAAATTCTAAACCATACTACTCTCAAGAGACAAATGACCAAAATGAACACAAATAAGAAAGAATAAAAAAGAAATAAGTTACCTCCCATAGAACAGAGCCACATGTGTAATTGTGGAGGCAATTGTCGCGAATCCAAAGCCATAAGTGAGTGCAAAGAACATGCTCAAATGTATCGGACCTTGTTGCGCATATGCAGTCTCATCGAGCTCGAACTGACCATTCACAATGGCCGTGATATTATATGGTTGGCCATCAGCAGTGAACAAATCCGAAGAAAAAATGGGGAATTTCTTTGCCCCATAAAGATCAAAGCCCCAATAAGCTATGGGAATGGCTAAATAAACTATCACTACATAGCCCACGAAGATATTCATAATGGCAAAGAAGGGGTAGATAAGTGGACTGAACATGAAGGCAGCTATAGCGGCCCAATCAAGGGGGAAGGCACCAAGACCCAAGCCATTGAGCCCTGAGCCCAGTTGTTGAGCTGTGATGGACTTGGGGTGGGCCCAACAAACCCAAGAGATGGTGGTGAGGGTGGAGAAGAGGTAGCCAGGGAGCACATAGTAAGAGAAGCTGCACACAAGAGCAATCACAAAGAACTTTGCACGCGATAGACGACGATCATCTTTCTCATGTAAGGCCCTGCGAGAAAGGAAGAATTGTTAGCACCTTAGAGACAATTCTCTGTTTTCGAGAGCGTAGTTTCTGAAAATTCTCATTTTGTAGGAATTTCGCAGGGGAAGGGTATATTATGATCTCAGAAAAAGCTACAGTTGTAAGTGCCATAACCGTAATGGACGGTGATGTGGACAGTGACCCACGAAGCACCAAATGAGCCAATTCCCTGTCCTGATCAGAAGATGATAGCACTTCTATTTTATATGGTAGTATGGATTAAATTATATTTTCCCTTTTTTGCTGGTTCTTATTCCAAAGAATTTACAGTATGGTCATATGGATCATCTTTTTTTGTTGTGTTAGCATGTTAAGATCATATGGCTAATTGTCTTTGATGATTTTGAAAATGTTCATATCTTCTCCAGAAATTCATTCTCGGAAGAATCTTAAAAGGATAAACAAAAATTTTGCAGAAAAAAATCAAATTCTTGGAAGCAAGAGAAAGCAAAGAGAGATTTTCAGTATATCTCATAAGTTTGGTCCAGTTTGTTTCTACGAGGGAATTGGTGGGTTCCAATCTTTGACATAAACAACCCACCAAGCAGACCTACCACCACTTTCTACGTAGTTGCCCCCAATATGTTTTCTTCTTTTGCCTGCTGTTTATGACTTCATTTTTAAGTGAGAACCCTGCACCTCCTTTGCTTCAAGAAGCAAACCCAGCTGACCTAACCCTTACTATTTTACTCAAGGGTTCAAAAAGCGGTTCTGTAACCTGGATCACCCCTCCGAAAAACTGGTCCGGAGTGGCGATCAGGCATCTAGCTAGTTGAAAGGAAAACTAGCTAGTTCCTGATGTTTAGCAAAATCCAAATCGGCCGGTTCCAATCGGCCGATTTTTAAAAGCTTGACTTTAAACAGGTATCTTTTTGCCTCATTTTTATAAGTTCACTTTTCAATACGAATCTTCTACATTTGGTAAACTTGTAATTAATATTTAGGCACAAAGTCACTTTCTTAAGAATTATCAGGAAGAAGGGATAAAAAATAAGGGCCAGAAATAGGGAATGAAGTTGGGAAAATGAAGAGAATAAAGCAATAAATAAAAAGGGGAATGAATATACCTGAAAACAGAGACCTGCACGAGAGTGCTAGGCCACCACATGTGCGCGGGCTCCACCACGTACTTCCTCAACAAACCAGCCCATCCATATCCCAATACCTTTTTTATTTATTATTATTATTATTATTAAATTCATTTCACAAACACACCAAAATACACCTGATCAAAAGACCCATCTCACAAGACGTCCAAAAATCACTCAAAGCAGTTAATGGAAATAGTAAAAAAAAACCCAGAAAATCCTTTGAGAGAGCGAGAGAGAGAGCAGTCTGAATTCACTCAAGACAATTAATGGAAAAAATAAAATTAAGACAGAAATTTATCAAAAGCAACTAAACAAAGAATTAAAAAACTGCAAAATCTCAGGAGATATTAAAAAACTGCAAAATCTCAGGAGATAGGAAGAGATAAGAATGGCTATTTCCACAACCAAATCCCCCAATAAAAAAATAAAAAACCTAAGGTGCTTAAAAGAGAGAGAGAATGGATTATTTCAAAACTGAAATTCACTAAAAAAACAATTAAAGTAAAGAACAAACATGCCCAAAGATAGAACAGGAGAGAAACACGAAGGGAATGGATTAATCAAAAACCAGATTCACTCCCAATAATTAAACAGCAAACGGAGAGCGAAGATGGGTTTCATCAAAACCCAAATCCCAGAAGAGTAACACAAAGAAACTCGCACAGCGTCGAGGGAACGAGATCGAGATCGAGAGAGAGACCCAAACCTGGGTAGTGATTATAATGAGCCAGCTCGCAATGAAAGAGATCTTCCTCCTGTAGAAGGCCTTGATTATATTCACAATCCCCACTGCATAAGGCGTTCCACTACCAAAAGCATAACCAGCATTTGCAAAAATGGTGATCAACACATGCTCCTTCATATTGAAAGGCCCTGGATTCAGAGAATACTCAGAGCCCCCAAGCCTGAATTTCTTCTTAGGAAGAACGGCGGCTAAAAAATGGCCAGCTGGTAAAGAAGCCACCTGAACTGAGATCTGGGTTATAACCAAAGGCTCTGTTCTATAAGCAAAGAACTGGTTCAGAAAGGACATGGCCGCGCACGAGAGAACACCGAGAAACCACATCCTGAACGTCCACACCGGCAACGAAGGGTCGTCAGTTGTTGTCACTGTTAGTCTCACCTGCTCTATTGGAGAGATTTCATCCTCTTCTTCTCTCTCTAGGGTCATCTCTGCACTTGCTTCTCCCATGGCAGAAGCTCGCCCTCTCTCTCTTTCCTCTAAAATTCTCACTCAATACCTTTCTCTTTGAACAATGGGTAATTTCTCTCTCCTCCCTCTTTCTCT